CATGGCCAAATATAGCCTGGAAAGGTGGGTCATCCAGCCCAAATTTGGGCTTCTCACTGTGGCTGCCATAATCACAGGAGCTACATTAACTCCTTGTCTGCTTGTGCCAACACAATGGCTCTGGCAGTTGCAGTGAGAAGCACCGAATGCTAGATCTGGAGGTCAGTTGTCCAGCTTAGAAGGAGCTCTTCTATCCAGATCCTGCCCATGAGGCCATATGAGTTTGACACATATCCTTAAAATAAATCTGAAACCAAAAATAAAATAATTGCATAGTAATCTCTGGATCATCATGGTTACATCACTCTTACACTGCCAGAAATGCTTACCATGTTTAAAAAGAACAACCCCCCCCACCCCACCCCCGACTAATATTGTATATGGCTGCTTTCCAGTTTTCCTTTTTAGGAAAACAGTGATTATCATTAAAAAAAAAAAAAAAAAAATTATGTCCAAGTGCATTAAATTTTAAATGAAAGTCTAGCTCAGTCAGCTTGTCCATTTAAATCCAACTTACATATGATTTTACTATGATAGAGAAATACCAAAATAGCATTATTAGTGCATATTTCTGTAACGTTGTGACTTGCTTCCCAGTGGAATATGTTATGGGCTGAAGAACACTTACTTAGTTCTGCTTATGGTGGACAATTTTTTTTCAGTATAGATTTGGATATTGGACTAGATAATGTTATCAGGTGTTGTTTTCAGATTTAGAAAATCAGGATTATCTACCATTTAAATGAAGTTCTTTATTTCAAACTGCAGGTATTTTCTCTTACTTTAACAATGTAGAATAGCCAATATAACACAAACAAAGCAGAGAGTTATGGCTTTCTGATAGAGAGATCCTTTCTCAGCTTTTGTCAAGTGGTCTTTTAGATTTGCGAATTAGAGCAGATATTTTTAGTGAGGAGAAACTTAGAAGTTGACCAAAAGAAAATACTTTCATTTATAGAACTTAATAAAATTAAAATGAGATTAAATAGAAAAATTAAGTTAGGACAGACAAATGCACAAAAAATTGACTTAGGTTTTAAAATGTTTGACTTCCAGAGATGATGTACAGCAGTCTCTCTCTATAGTACACAACTGCCTGATTGGTTCGGGGAACATTCTGCCTCCTCTAAAAGGAGAAAGGATAGCTCACCTGTAAGTAATATTTATGATTGTATAATAACAAAATGAAATGTTTTTAAGCTATAAATTTGTAAACAGAGGGTTTAATTTTGTATTTCTAGTCTCATAGTGAATTTTAAGATGATTACTTTTAGTAAATACTTGAAAATTAGCTTATCTTATGTTACTAAGGAATATGTACTGTATTATGCTCATGGCTATAGAAGAACTTGGATTTTTAAGATATGAAATAATACTTAACACTGATTAGTGCTTCTCATGGATAAATGACAATATGCTTTACAAAGGTGGGTAATCAGCATTGTGCTGATTGTTATTTTACATGTGGAGAAAATCACAGACAGTAACTTACTTGCGTTCAGCAGTAGAATAAGAAAGAGGAGTGCTCCTTACTGAGGTTCTGTGCCCAAAGCCACTGGACCAAGCAAGGGCTTTCCCTGCTAAAACTGCTTAATTATTCAGTATTCAAGTTTCCATTTAAAATACCTGTCTTGTCTGACTGGAAAGAAAACACATCCACTGTAACTCAGTATGTTAGTGTCTTGCCCTGATTCCTGTCAGGCGGCCTGAAGGAATAAAGCCATCAGCACTCTGAGCTTCTTTTTGAGGACGTACTTCTTCAAAGCATAATTTGTGATCTCTGCCAAAGCATTTTCGTTACATTAAAGGAAAAGGACAAACATGTCCCTTCTTAAAGTTAAGAAACATATATGCTTGAGTAAAGACATAGGTCTAGAAGGCAAGTCTGGCTGCCAGCACCAGCAAAAATGTTCTCTGGTAAAGTAAATTGCTATTTAAGGCGTAAAGGGAACTAATATATTTTCTGTTGCCCTGTGGCTGTTCAGGCTTTAATTCAGTTGGTACAGTAGGATGAGCATTTATTAAAGCTTGATTATTGTGAGACGTGTTGAAATGTAGAATTTAGATGTATGCATGTTCTGACTCATGCTCCTATAGCACATTAGTTTGAAGAGCATTTTCAAATACTTTGGTAGGTCTGTGTTCTAGCTTTTATGGGCAGAGCCGATGTGGATTCTGGTAGGAAATGGATTCTGAAGTGCTCTGCCCAAACAGCAGCCACTTGAAGCATACTTATGGTACTGCTTGGCATCCATTGTCCAGTGCAGGAGGCTAGTGAGGCAGTGGTGACATTCCGATGCTGTTTAATGTGTCATGCAGTATGTTAATCGTAAACATTTCCAGGTGTATACCAGAAGTGTGAGGACAAACATTGGTTTTGCCTTTTGTACTAGGGCCTCAAAAAGGGAGAATATTTGGGTACAGGTTGTTTTTTGCCCTAAAACAAGTGGAGGAGAATAAGGCACTGTCTACTCTCGTATGTGTCAAAGTGGCAAAGAACTCCCTCTTCTGTAACCATCTGTAGGTATGTGAGCATATGAATAGTAAAAAAAATATATATATATTTAATAGTGTGTACTTGTAAGGGGAATTTTCCCACTCAGTTCCTAATCCCTGTCATACTGTCTAGAATCAATATTTTAGTTCGGTGCTGTTAAAGTACAAGCTTCTTATTAAGGAGTGGGAATCTTTAGTGTGTTGCAGTTACCGTAGCATCATAGAAACTTAGTGCTGGAAGTTTCAGGAGGTCATCTGGTCTTAACCCCCTTCTCAAAGCAGTACCATCACCAACTAGATCATCCCAGCCAAGACTTTGTCTACCTGGGTCTTAAAAACCTCCAAGGATGAAGATTCCACAGCCTCTCTGGGGTAACATGGTCCAGTGCTTTTACCCTCCTAGTGAAAGAGTTTTCTCTTGTATCTAACCTAAACTTCTTTTGCTGCAACTGGAGACTGTTGCTCCTTGTTCTGTCATCTGCCACTACTGAGAACACCATCCTCTTGGATGTTCAGATATATGAAGGCTGCTACTAAATCTACCCCCTCAGTCTTCTCTTCTGCAGACTAAAAAAGCTCAGTTCCCTTAGCCTCTCCTTAGAAGTCATGTCCTGGCCCTCTAACCATTTTTGTTGCCCACTGCTGGACTCTCTCCAATCTGTCCACATCCTTTCTGCAGTGGGGGGGGGAAAATTGAACACAGCACTCAAGATGTGCCCTCACTAGTGCAAAATAGAAGGACATTATCACTTCTGTTGATCTGCTAGCAACACTCCTACTAATTTAGCCCAGTATGCTATTAGCTGTCTTCAGAACAAGAGCACACTGGTTCATACTCAGCTTAGTGTCCACTGTAACCCTCGGGTCCTTTTGTGCAGAGCTGCTGCTTACCCAGTCCATCTCCAGCCTGTACCAGTGCACAGGATGGTTCCATCCTAAGTGCAGGACTTTTCACTTCTCCTTGTTGAACCCTGTGAAATTTCTTTTGGTCCAATCCTCCAGTTTGTCTAGCTCTCTCTGTGTCCAGTCTGACCCTCAACTTATCTACTACTCTACCCAGCTTCATCATCTGCGGATTTGCTGAAGATGCGCTCCATCCCATCTCCCAGATCACTGGGTTACTGAACAAAACCAGGCCCAGGACTGACCCCACTTGATGCTGGCTGCCAATTAGATTTGAGCCTTTGATTACTACCCTTTGAGGCCAACAGTTTAGCCATTTCACAGTCCATTCATTCAACCCATACTTCCTCAACTCGTTTGCAAGAATGATGTGGGAGACAGTATTAAAAGCCTTGCTAAAGTCGAGATGTATATCGTATCCATTGCTCTCGCTGCATCCATAGAACCAGTCATCTCATTGTAGAAGGCAACCAGGTGTCCAGGCATGACTTGCCCTTAGTGAATCCATGCTAACTGTTTCTGTTCACCTTCTCCTTCAGGTGCTTAGAAATTTGATTCTTTGGGGACCTGCTCCATGATTTTTCCGGGGACTGAGTTGAGGCTGACTGGTCTGTAATTCTCTGGATCCTCCTCCTTCCCTTTCTTAAAGACGGACACTGTATTTGCCCTTCTCCAGTGTCCAAAAGCTCTCCCAATTTTTTGCCATGAGTTTTCAAAGATAATGGCCAGGAGATCTGCAATCACACTAGCCAATTCCTTCAGGAATCTTGGGTGCTTTGTGTCTGGCTTCACTCACTTGTACACATCCAACTTTTCTATATAGTCCCTAACCTGTACATTCATTACTGTTGGCTGCTGGTCTCCTTCCTGAACTATAGTGCCAGATGCCATAGCCTGGGAGCTGACCTTGCCTGTGATGGCTGAAGTGAAAAAGGCATTGAGTGCTTCAGCCTTTTCTGCATTATCTGTGACTAGGTTGCCTCCCACTTTCAATAAGGGACCCACACTTTCCCAGATCATCATCTTCTTGCTGACATACTTGTAGACACCCTTCTTGTTACCCTTCAAATCCCTTGCTGGCTGCAACCCCAACTGTGCTTTGGCCTTCCTGATTTCATCCCCGCATGCCTGAGAAATAATATTATACTCCTCCATAGTTTTCTGTCCAAGTTTCCATGTTTCGTAAGCTTCCTTTTCGTGTTAATTCACTGAAGAGTTCCATGCTAAACTAAGCTGGTCTTCTGGCATACTTGTTAATCTTCCTGCACATTGGGATGGTTTGCTCCTGCATCCTCAGCAGTTTTTTTTAAGTACAACCACTCCTGTCCTCTCCAGACTGGCCTCCCAGGGGATCCTGCCTATCAGTTCCCTAAGTGAGGCAAAGTCTGCTCTTCTGAAGTCCAGGGTCCTTACTTTGCTGCTCTCCTTCCTTCCCTCAGGATCTTGAACTCGCTCATCTTGTGGTTTCTGCTGTCCAAAGTTGCCATTCACTTCTATGTTGCCCACCAGTTCTTCTCTGTTTGTGAGCAGCATATCAAGAAGGCCTCTCTAACACTTGCACCAGGAAGCTGTTCCCAATGCTTTCCACAAACTTCCTGGATTACCTGTGTACTGCTGTATTGCCCTCTCAGCAGAGGTCAGGGTGATTTTGAAGTCCCCTGACAGGCTCTGGTTCTCATGGGGGAAACTTCTGCTAGCTGTTTTGAAGAAAGCCTCATCCACCTCATTCTCTTGGTCTTGCGGTGTGTAGCAGACACCCATCACAACCTCACTCGTGTTGCTCTCTGACCCTAACCCAGACACTTTCAACAGGCCTATCTCCAGTTTCATAATGGAGCTCTAAGCAATCGTACGGCTCTTTTACATAAAGAGCAACTCCCCTTCTTCCCTGCCTGTCCTTGAACAGTTTATATCCATGTATGGATATAGTCCAGTGGTATGAGCTATTCCACTAAGTTTGTTACTTCAGTTACATCACAGATGCAAGGTTTTCCAATTCTTCCCACTTGTTTTCCAGGCTCCATTCACTACCACAAGTCATAAGATGGACAAAGGCCTACCTTGGTTTTATAGAGTCTCTCTCGCTCTCTCTCTCTCTCATATATTTGGAATTTATGTTGACAAGCAATAACTGCCATTTTCTGTTTGGAGGAACTCCAAGACATTTTTCTCATCATAAATTTTGTTGATGCTTTTTTTTTTGTCCCTTTCAAATTGGAGTCCTGATCTGTCAGTCAGATTTGAAATGACTTGGAGTGGTTTTGAAAGATGTGAATGATATGTTTTGCTTCCTTTTTTCTTTCTGTTTTTTTATTGCTATCTAATGTAGAGGATTTATATTAATAACCTGAAAATAAATTTTGGCTACAGAAATTGAGTATCTTTCTTAGTGATTTTTTTTTTTAACATCTAAATTTCAAATCTCAGATTTATTGTAGGTGAATATCCTGTCAACCTCAGATGGTTTGTTTCTTGCTATCAGCTTTTTTGGAAGCCCACATATAGATGACCCTCAGCAGAAAAAACCTCTTTTGACTTTTTTCTTTAGCTTTAATTTTAATGTCTCAAATGGTAACTTGTCCTAGCAACATGAACAGGTTTTACCTTGGATCTTTTTATGATCCCATAAAGTCTTTTAAAAACTGCGATTAAATCAGTTCTCTTCTTGTTTTTTTTAAGGCTTAATTTAGAGAGGTCTTGAACAGTCTGTTACCTACCAAGAACCCTCCAAGTCATAGAATCATAGAAATTAA